AAGGACAGCATTTAATAAAAATGTGGCAATATAGACACTCTACTTTATATTACTGGCACTCTATTAATTTTGTAATTTCAGCCAATGAATAAAAAGCAAATTAATTTAGTGCCAATGACAACAAGTGGAGTGCCAACCTCATTACCCAAACTTAGGGCTGCATTTTATTGTGTACCAGGTGAAGTCCTAGAGGACGTAAAACGTAACGTATTATAATGACACAATAATTAAAAATCTGAAGCAGGACAAGAAACTTTTGGTGGGAACCCAAACAATTAACTGGACTTGCATAAGATAAACTATTGCATGAGTGATATTGAGATTTGGCCAACTATTTTGACCAACCATATTTTCACCTTCCTTATTTGAAGACTAGCTTAAATTATGTGGGTTATGCAAGGAACTAGTTTCTTGGACGCAACCCTTAGTTTCATGGACGATTTAATTCTGTACGACATTACCAATAGTCATTTACTTTTAAGCCAATTACTTTTAAGTCAATTAAGGCGGTCGTCAAAGAGAAAACTATATTATGCTCAAACTCGACAAAATGGTGACCATAGATAAGGATATTAATCACGAAGCAGAAGTAGCTTTATTAATTAAAGGTATCAATTAAGTACCGAATTGTTTTACGTGCAAAATTTTCCATCCATTGATTTGACTAACAATACCATTTTCAAAGTAGACGGATAAATATGTTTATTTTTATGATACTACGATTTTTAAAGCAGCTTAGTGCTCTGCCAGTTAATTTCACATTTTTTTGCCAACCATACTATTCTAGATTTTTTAAACTTTTTGTTGGTATGAATTTTAAGAAAATGAAAATCTATCTATACTAAGTTACATAAATATATGTCATTATTAAGCCTTGATTCGGGTAATTGTGGATATTAGAGGGTCTAAAGACAAAATAATGAAGTATAATATATTAACAGCAGATCAAAGTCTATAGATAGACATCTAGTCATTATTTCTAAGGATGGCAACGGGGCGGGGTTGGGGCAGGGGACCCCTCCCCAACCCCCGCCTCGCTGCCTACAAATTCCCCCAGCCCCCACCCCGCTTTTCCCACGGGTGCCCCCGTGGGGTTAATAAAAATTTGTTATATAATTTATAGTTAAATTTAAGCAAATAATCAAATACTAAAATATCAACACATCACCAAATTATTATTTATTGTAATTTCACAATTGAAACTTATAAAAATAATCAAACAAAAGTTATTTGAATACAATCCAACATGATGAAATAAATACAACTAAAATAGTCAAGTTTTCATTTTTGGCACAAATACAATCACTAATTCAATATTGTGCTTGTGCTTTTTTTTTGAGAAAAAAATGTTATTGTTTTAAGTGTAATTAGGGATTTAGTATATATGTATTAGTAAATTTGTATAACTAATTAATAATTTCTATTAGTGGTCATATATAATTATTAGTATAATTGATAATATCAATTATATTACATATACTAATATACATTTTATAATACATATAACTAATAATATTATTATTAAAGTTTGCAACTAATTAAATTAAATATTATATATATAATTATATACATATATATAATTATATATATTTTTAAGCGGGGTAGCGGGGCGGGGGTACACTCCCCCGCCCCATTTCCAAACGGGGGGAAAATATTCCCCCCGCACCTACCCTACCCTCGCCCCAACCCCCCGCCTCATTAGCTCCCCACAGGGTAGGTGGCCGCGGCCACCCGCCCCCATTGCCATCCTTAATTATTTCTGTATCAACTTCACGTTACACTCTGATTCATTATTCTTAAAAAATTCTCGGGAAGGCGAAATGCAATGGATCTTCTGTCCCACACCCTGTGCCACTCTCTGTCCAACTTTTTATTATATAGTTATTTCTCCTTCATAAACATCATGTTTAAGTTCTTTTTTATTTTCTTAAGATCCAATAACTATTAATTCAGTAAAAAATAAATACAACAGTTTCAAAAAAGTAATATATAATAGAAAATTAAAAAATACAGCAGAAAATTTATAAAAAATCTCATTTTTTATGCATTTTGATTTTTTGAGTTTGTTAACTTTTGTGTATTACTTCATTAATAGTTATTGGATCTTAAGGAAACAAAAAAGAGTTAAAACATGATATTTATGAAGGAGAAATAGCAATTTAATAAAAAGTGGCACAGAGAGTAGCACAGGGTATGGAACAGAAGATCCGTTGCGGTCAAAATGTAGCATTTCAGCCTTCACTTCCGGATCCTGTCTTCTTTGTACCATCGGTTGTTTCTTCAAACAATGATAACGATGATCCAATGGCCCCAAGTCAGCGGGCGGTCCTATAAATAGTCCTCCTCATCAGCTTTATACTTCACACCAAAGTGATAGAACGGTTATTTGGCGTATTTTGCACTGCTATTTTGTCCTAATTTTGGCTATTCACGGTACTAAAAATTGGAATTTTACTCATATTCGATATTTGTGTGAATTGTAGGTGGTAGGCATGAAAAATGATCTCGCGGGGTGAATTTCCAGAAGACTTCCCGTTCCAAGGCGTGGCCACGCCTTAGAAGGTGGACGAAACCGAAAGCCGGACTGCGGTCCACGTGAACCGCGAGGAGCATGGGATTAAAACTCCAAAAGCTAGCTTTTGTTGCAATCAATTGGGTCAGACGTTTGTTTTCTTCTTGACTTCTCTTGGGCGGCGCTACATATAAAAAGGAAAAGGAGATTCAGAATCAGGGGACCCTAGCTTTAGGTTTCTTTTTCTACTCTTTGGGTCAGACGCCGTCTTTTGCTTTTTCTCCGTTTTTCCTACTTCGGCAGCAAGTACATTAGAAATTAGGAGGACATTTTAGCTTTCGTCTCGTCTCTTCTCTGTCAGACGCTTTTGGGTTTTTCTTTCCTCTCTAGCCGCAGTTAGGGAAGAAGATTCCCCTTGTGCGTGGGGCCCCATTTCGGACGCAGAATACGAAGGAACTATTCCTTCATTGTTTCACTTTTCCAATTCTTCGGCAACTAATTGAATGAACTCAATTAAATCACGCGGGATTGACACGATGAGGAGCGGCTAATTTCCTCCTCTACCCAAAGGTTAACGCGACGGCACGGTCCATAATATCTGTGAGATCTAATCGAATCTTCATTATTTCTCCCAATTTATTGCTATTCGTGCGTTTTCTGAATTAATTGTTCATGGGTATTTTATTGATTGAATATCAACGGTCGGGTATTTGATTTAATTTAATAGCCTACTGCCACGTTAATTAAATAGAATCCGTAATTGTTCATTTAGTTAACACCTCGTGGCAACCACCATAATTGGTTTTATGATGGGGAAACGCAAGATCTAACTTAAATAAACCCTCTTAGCGTGTTTATTGGTTAGGGTTGGGTTCTTCTAGCTTTAATGCAATTGGATAATTAAATTCCTACGGTCGTACCTAGGGTTGTTATCTGGTTAGGGAAGCAGTCAATGGTCGTACCTTGACTGTCGAAAAGGTAAGGAAGAACTGGTTGTCAGAGCTTATTGATAACTATAACCAACCTAGTGATGAAAAGGTTAAATATCTTTGCATCGATGATCATTTAATTGGACCGTGCCTGCGCAGTTGATCCTTTGGGTAGAACTTTTGTTAATTGCTATTTTCAGTGAATTGTGCTTTGTGAGTTAGTTTTGAATTTTGTTTGTTTTATTTTATTTTATTTTTATTTGCCTCCCATTGAAAATCCCCCAATTTCGTTCTACTAATTTGGAAAGAAATAATTTCCTACCTGCTCCCTGTGGAATCGACCCTACTTGCCATTGTACGCAAAATTAGTATTTTTATAGACAAATCCGGTATATCGGATCAAGCAAACTCTTCGGGAACAGGGTGAATCAAGTAACCCATTGCACACCTAGGGTCCCTGCTCCAGTACTTGGATTTGTTCTATAATTATTTAATTGAGGTGGTAATTAGGACTTTTTAGTAATTATTATTGCACAGGTTCGGCACCTGTCACAAAGCAACTTGTTTCCTTCTTTCTTCTCCTCCTTTGTGTCGGTAACAAAACAATGGCAAAGAGTTTAGCTATAGCATCCCTCCAAATTCTCGGCGTGCTTTTACTAGCAAGCTTGGCACAGTCAAAGCATTCGATCTTACATTTGACGCTGTACGACCATGAATTTAAAGGTCCAACTGCTGAGCACAATCAGACTATTTATCCTGTTGCAGGTCTCCCCAACGTAAAATGGGGCTTTTTACAATTTGGAACTCTTTTCATCGGCACAAATATCTTGAAAGAAACCATCTCATTCCACTCCCCGACAGTTGGTCATTTGCATGGCGTTGTTGGAGTAGCATCCCTTGATGGCTTCGCCATAGAGGCCTTGGCAAGTGTGCACTTCCTTGAACACGGAAAGTACAATGGTAGCACTGTGGAAATTAAAGGAGTTATCAATCAGGATCAGCAAGTCAGTGAAGTTGCAATTGTAGGAGGAACCAAACAATTTCGGTATGCAACAGGGTATATGACCTTTACGGGTACCCCGGTTGTAAATGCAACTGGGCATAATGTTTATAAGTTGGACCTCCACATTAGACTTGACAAAAAAGGTGACAGCCCTGGTATTGCTCTTCAATAATAACTGATCACTACAACAAAAATGACCTTTAATGACGTTTAAAGGTGTCAGTATAGATAATATAAACTGACACTTTACCTTTCCTCACACTTCGGACGAGTGTTGTCCCTTCCAATGTGGGGATAGGCTCGTACTATTCAATGTGTCGGGAAAACTATGCTATTATAGCATCCCATCTGCCAACCAAAATCTCTTTTCTTGACAATTGAAAGTGTTAGAATATTGTCGAAGTTGTTGAGTTATGCTGACACTTTTAACTGCCAGGAGTTTTTTTTTCTTTTTTTTTTTTAATAAAGAAGCAACCTGGTTGTGCTCCCTGCTATACATTCCGTCAATTAGATACCTAAAGGACTTGTAAAATTATCCCAAAAAACAGAATGCATGTAGTAATTTAAAAGCAAAAGTCAATGCTTAAATATCATTTGTTGAACTAAAATCAACAACAAGTACTAACATAGCTAATCAAAAGCCAAAACCAACACCAGCTAATGTAACTAATTGTCTACACTGTCAGTATATAACAGCCAAAACCAACATTTAAAGTCCCAAATAGAAGTTCCTTTATCTCTGGAACCTTGGTGCTCAATGCGTTGTTAAGCAAAGTCTTGAACAGGAGCAGAAAGCTTTAGTTCATGTACGGCTTGGAAGTAATCTGCGACTACTTGTTTCAAGCCTTGAGACTTGGATAGCACTCCAAGAAGGAACCACGCATGGTGGTTTGTCGGCTCTAGTCGGAGAGCAGTCATCAACAAGCTTCTTGCAATAGGAAGATTCTGTCTACCCAATTTTATCAGCACTCCAGCACTTGAGACAATGCTTGGTACATAATCTGGCTCTATGGAGAGTGAAACTGAGAATGCAACAAGAGCTTCCTTGTATTGTGAGCTTCAAATGATTTACCTGCAGATATAAACGCATCTTGTGATAATCAAAGGATATGAATAAACTCATCTTACTTTTTTTTTTTTAAATTTTCGCAACTTCTTTTAAGATTATACATCATCTTACATGTTCTGAATCGCTTATTAAATGTTGTTATTTCTGGAATTGGTTAAGCGAAATCCCAGCTAACCACTTTGTCAGTCACTTTAATAAAGCAGGGGATTTAATTGAACAGAAGGAAAGAAGAAAAGTGCTGTAACACTTCCAATAAGGACACCATATCAATTTCCAAAAGACAAAAAGTAAAAAGACTATAATTCAGAGTACAGAATAATTGCATTGGAACGCCCTCAGTTAACCTTTTCTGAAATGGCATTAACCAAACATGCATCAAGATAGTATGAACTTAGACAAAAGCAAATAATCATCTGCAACAGCAAAACAATGCATCTGAGCTTCTTCATTTTCCCTTCATACAAATTAGAAAACAAAAGCCTAGTGCTTATCTTGTTTGCCACAGAGGTTGGTCTTTCCCGACTTGCAGAACTTGCATTCCCTGCATTCTACCTGGTAACAAGGTATTACATGGTCCTCGGGCTTGACTTCAGTCACACCTTCGCCAACACTTTCAACTATTCTGCAATTTCCATGGTAACAAAAAGGGGAAGCACTGTATTAACGTTTCCACTTCAGCATTTCACCTAAACAAAAGCCCCCAAGTACATTGAAAAGTACAACAAAAGGAGAACATACCCTGCAGCCTCATGAACAAAAGGAGAACATACCCTGCAGCCTCATTGAAAAGCCCTCATTTCCTCGAATTTAATCCATACTCACCTTGCCACTCCAGGTGTATGCATCTGTATGGCAGAGGGCAGTGTAGAGGATCTTGACTCGAACTTCGCCGGCTTGAGGCAGAGCCACCTGCATGTCCTCGATTACCAAAGGTTTATTGGGTTCCTAGGCCACCACCGCTTTTCATTGCCAAATTTCCAGCCAGATCACACATCAGTATCAGCCCAAAAAAAAAAATCAAATGCAAAACAACATGAACGATCAAATGAAATCAAAGGAAGAGTACCTTTGCAAGTAATCACTTGACCTTGCGTAGCCATAATTACTTACTTATCTTTGAGATTTTTTTTTGCAACCACAGATCGGCCGATGATAAACGAAAGGACACTTAACTGTAGAGTGACCACGACTGAGGAGTAGGCAAAATCATACTTGATTATTATCACCGGAAGTATTATAGCCACAAGGCGGACCCATGTTGCATTTGATCCCTAAAAAAACAAGGGGGAGAAGCCCAATGGCCACCACCCCAGTGAGCTGGGAACCTGACAATGAGTGGGAACTCATCAACGATGACAGTTTCATCTACAAACGCAGGAAATGTCCCCGTGTCGACCTTCCTTCCTCCACTTCGGCACCCGGGCTACCGGATCCGACCGTTGAAGAACAGAACCGCCGGCAAAGGAAGAAAAGAGTTTTTCTCAAGCTCAAACACAAGTACATTTGTCGAACACCTTGAAGGACATGCAGCAAAAATCCCCAATTGTTATTAGTCAGCAGCAAAAATATCGACAACCCAATGACGGGACTGCAGAGATAGGGAGCAGAGGAGAGGAAATTGGCCGAGAGAGAAGGAGGGCAAAAATTGGTATTTCAGATTCAGGCAGACAACCAAGAAAAATCAATTTAGGGCAAAAATTTATCATGTAATTACATACCTTCAATGGGAAAGCATGGGTAGTTTGATTGCGGAGAGATTCAATAGACAAAAACTCTTCGGGAAAAGCAAAATTTTGGCCAAGAGTTTTGATAGATAGTTTGCTGAGGGAGAGAGAGAGAGAGAGAGAGAGAGAGAGTTTGTGAGAGAGATAAGAGAAGCAAAATTTCAGCAGGCAAAATGAGGTTTTGAAATTTCACACTGTGTTTTGGCAAAGCAATCTTCCGCCAAAATCAAACGACGCCATTTTGTGTTCTAATTTTTTTGGTGCATCTCACATTTTTTTCAAGTGTCATGATAGATAGTTTAAAGGCACATTATTATTCTTATATCAGATAAAATAAAATAAAAAGAGTATAAATTATTGATTTGATAACAAGTGTCATGATAGAAATGCTATAATAACACAAACCATCAAGTGTCCTTATAGGTATGTCAGGAAAGGCCATTTTTGTTGTAGTGGATATATGTATCTTTTAAATAAACTTGACCCTGGATCACCATAGGTCATCGGGCCAAGAGTTTCTCCATGTCTGATGTTTGTTGTATGTTTCTTGAGGTACTTGGCATGTATAGCCAAGTTAACTCTATCAATAAATCAGTATGGTTTGTAATACTTTTGAATAATTTAGTGCAACTGTTGCTGGATCTTTTCTCGATTTATGTTCCACTTCTAAAATAGATGACACAAAACTAGGGCAAGAATGTGTTCTTTCTCTTTACTGACTAAAATCTGAATAATCTAGTTGTTCTTTGTACCTAGTTATTCAATTTAAAGTACTTTTTCTAAGTGCCTAGTTATTCAATTTAAAGTACTTTTTCTAAGTAAATGTAAGATTTTTGTTATGTTTACCATAACAAATTTAATACTATTACAAATTTGTGTCGATTGTCTGTACTCTCGATAAATTAATGATTTAAATGAATTTTTGCGAACATTAGAATCACGTAGTTACAAACCACGTACAACATTCAAGTTGAGAGCTTATAAAAGTAGAGGATATAATAATGAATCCTACTTACTATCAGTGATTCAAGCATTCTGAGTTAAAACCCCCTCGCATCTGCTGCTCTCAATTGTTATTTTATTTGTCAAAGTGTAGATTCCCATGAAAACTCAGTATCACCCAATGTTAAAGGTCATCGAACTCAAATCTTAATTTCACTGGGTGGCGTGTGCATTTCCGATTCGTAGAGAACCTAAAATTTGCATTCAAGATTGTTCATCTATCTATTATTACCTTTTTTTTCTTTTTCTTTTTCTTTTTTTTTTAGTAGGACATAGTCTGACTTAAGAAACAGAGAATTTGAATCTAAAATCTCGAAATTCTAAAGAAGTTATTACTCATTTCGTCCCTTCTTGTGTTGGTGGGAGTAAATGAAAGTACTTAAAACTACATGAATTCATTTTTTCTTCTTTTTGTTCAAGATCTATGGGTTTGCAATTCGCTTCATTATATTGACTAATGTGCAGTTACTAGTTAAGCCCCAGATCATGTAATTAAAATTTTTTGTCTGCTCGAAAAATGCGTGTGGAATGGTTTTCTTTGTTCTGCAAATCGATGCCACTGGATAGTTTTTTTTTCAAGGTGCCGTGGAATAGTTTTTTTTTTTTTTTTGGTCTAGAAAAAGAGAGATGTATGACTTAAGAAGCGGAAAGGGAATAGGAGCATTTGAATTCAAGACATCTAACTCACGGGATTTCAATGTTAACCGTTGGACCAAGACCTACTCAGCCATGCCGTGGAATAGTTGACTGGCATTAATTTGCTATTCTTAACGATTTTACAAGTCTATTTCTTTATATTTAACATAATATAAACCAATGAATATGTCATTCAACTTTTACTATGTTCTAAATTATGTCATGTTGTTTCATTCTCAAGACTCATTTTAACTAGTGGGTATTGAGATCCTTAGTTTGACTCTCATATTATCACCTCCATCCTTTTTTCTTATAAGATTTGGAATCTTCTCTTGGAAAAAAAAAAGTTATCATGTCAAAACTGTAATTGCTTTGTTCAACAGATAATAACTTTACAAGGTCATATATGTTAATTATTCTTAATTTAGAACTGTCGATCTTGTATTTTCTTATTTCCGCTATTCCGGCCCTCTCAAATTGTGCCAAGTCTCAGTTGTTTGCCATCAAATATAATTTGACCTTCGTGATAATTTAAGGGCTCAATTGAAGCAAAATTCAGCTTCGTGGTGAAAATTTTCAGAAGTCTCAACTTATCCTAGTCGAGCCAAATGCAATTAATTCTTCTGGATTAGTTTTAAAAAAGTGATTTGAACAAAACTCTTCTGGCCGGTTCTCCAATATGACTTGGAGGGAGGCCTTGCATCTGCTCTCAAATTTAATTTAATTAGTTAAAGTATAGATTCCGTGAAAACTTATCTTCAGCAAATCCAGAATTGGTCATCCAGAAAGGAATTTAGCTTAGATGCCTCAAGCTCAAAATCTTTTAATTTCATTAGGTACGTGGAATGCCATTTCAATAGAACCGACTCCTTTCACACTTTCTGTAGAGAATATAAAATTTGCATTGAAGGTCGTTCATTTTTCAATCAGCACTTTATAAGCAAGTTGTTCATTTCTTTTTTCTGTAACCTTTTTTCATCTCTAGCCAAATCATTTTGAATTTGATCCTATTGTAATTATTGTTCAGCGTCTTCCACTGCAACCGAATCTGTACATACATCAAGAAAATCTTCCCCAGTTTTCAATTTGTACACTCAGAAGACAATCTCTTCACTGTGTATTTTGGATTCCTTTTAATTGTTCCCGTGTAAATCATCTCAGCTGGAGTGATGCTGATCACCTTCTCAGCTACTGATCAGGCTGCAGCATTTGTGAATATTCTGGTCAAAATGGGAACATTAACAAAGGTTGAAAAGCAAGTTGCGTCTGTCGGGCCACATGTAGAACTGGTTCCTCGTTGGATACAAGTTTTTTTTTTTTTTTTTTTAAATTCTCCTCCAGTAGTTGACTAATTAGGATCAGTTTTGTTTAGAAAATAAGAAACTAAATATTTTGGAGATCAATTAACTTAAATTTCTGCGTTACACTATCGGACGGCATTGGATTTTTTTTGGGAAGATAACAAAAAGGCATTAGTTGACTTGGAAGATGCTGTTTTTTGGATTCTTAATTTGGTTATTGCATTTTAAATTTTACGCATCCTGCATTTGGAGATGGTAATTTTAGCATAAAGAAGAGTTAATGTAGGTGGAAAAGGTATAACTTGTTTCAACAAATTGTTGGCAAAAACGGATATATATGGCGAACTAGTAACTACACATTAATCAATACAAATGAAGCAAAATAGAAATATATCTCGAGAAAAAAAAATGAAAGTAGGTTGTCATAGGTACTCTCAATTTACTTCCACCGTTCAAAGAAGGGGCGATAAAAAGAGTGCTAATTGATAGATGAACAATCTTCAATGCAAATTTGAGTTTCTTCATGAATTGCCGAGTGTCAAAGGGTTCAGTTTTGAGGATATGCTGATGCTAAATAATGCAATTAAAAGTTAATTTAATCATTATAGATCTATCACTATGGAAGACCCAAAAGTGACCAAATGCCATTTGGAAATGAATTGGACATTTTCATGTCCATTCTGAAATTTTCCGTGTGCATGTTAGTAATGGTTTATATAACTTTTGATGAAAACCATCACCTATTAAAGCTAGAATCTTTATGGTATTTACTGAGAAATAAATCAACAAGTAAATTGCGGAGGCGTACTTGGATTCATATTCACTAACCGGTACTTGAATCCTTAGAGATTTTGAGATTGCTTTCCAGATCAACACATATTCGCTGATCCTTGAGAGAGTCCTTTAGTTTTTCTCTGATATCTTTCCTAACGATGAGATATCAGGAAAGAATTATTTGCAGTGCTAAAAAATACGATCATAAGAATATGTATGACCCAGGACTATAACCCTATTTATAAATAATTTTCCTATTATCTTTTGGATTCTTATTTCAACCCATCATAAAAATAAAAATTACCCTTAAATCTCTATACATTAAAGATCCACTGTTATGACCCAAGGAGGAGCTGAACATATGAGCAAATAGGGTGATGATCAAGAAGTTGCTATACTACTTGCCAACTCAGAAGTTAGTTAACAGTCAGTTAGTTAGAGGCACTTAGAATAGTTGAATCAATTGATTGTATAAATAAAAGATGAACTGTACAGTGAAGGGCCTATTGCAATAAAGTATTGTGCTTGAGGAATCTAATTAAGCTGAGGGTGCGTTTGGTTCTGCAGAATTGGAATTGAATTAGAATTGAAATTCTATAGAATTGGAATTCTATGAATTATAATTCCAAATCATTGCAATTCTTTCGTTTGGAAAATGCATAGAATTGATATGGAATTTGTTTGGAATTCCAAATTCTTTGTTTGCATGAGAGAATAATTCATTAGGAATTAGAATTGTTTTCATGAAACATTTGCTTACAGAAAATTTTTCTTTTTCCTTTACTATATAATATTTTTTTTAACATTTAGCTAATTGTTACCAAAGCTTTAAGGAAAAAACCAATTTGTACCTTTAATAATTTATTTTTTCTTGCATTTAGCTAATTGTTACTCAAGCTTTAAAGAAAAAAAATTAGTTACTTTTCTTCAAAAAAAATATTATTCTTGTTTCTTTTCTTCTTAATTAAATTATATTAAATAAAAAATAACTATATATTCTAACTTAAAAAGTAATTAATATTTATCAAGTTAAAACCTTGATACTTTTTATAAAGCTAAGAACTTTAAATTTTAGAAAATCAAAAGCCTACTCTATGATATTAATTGGGAAGGAAAGTCATAGCTTGTGCCTATTATAAAAATTTGAGTTTTGTATCTTACAAGAAATTCCAATAGATGAATATGCAAACAAAGTGACTTTAGCAAAATAGAGAGAGAGAGAGAGAGAGAGAGAGAGAGAAGCACAATTATACATTGCTACTATTCTTCAATAAATGGCCATTCTAATATTAAATTAAGTCCGAATAAGTTCCTATCAAATTTCAAGGCTAAGAATGATTTTGGCTAATTAGTGTATTAAAAATGCTCACAGTAAACAACTGCAACCACATGTAGTATTGGTGAAACAGTGACATCCATTTTAATTTTCTTTCTGAATTGTCAAAAACAATTTAATTGGATGAATGGCAATAAATTAGAATAAAA